AGATGACAAAAATAGCCTATGACACCCTCCCACTCCGAAGTGTATGTGTGCCAAGCTTGGATAGGATCGGTTGAGAAATGGAATTTTCTATTCGGAACATACGTACTATACTTTGGAGTGAATCGAATGATTATTCAATTATTCGAGTAAATCATTCGAATGTGAATGATGTAAAAATTCGAAGTCAAAAATCTGAGATTTCGAATAATATTCAACACTTTACTCGAGTATTTTCATTTTCGGGTATTATTCGAAGGTCGAATATTCGAAAAAAAATTTCGAATTTCCCTAAGTATAGTACGTATTTTACTTAAAGAAATTCGAAATTTTTTTCGAATAGTCGAAAATCGAAATTCTCGAATATTCGACCATGGAATGTTATTCGAAATTCGAAAATTTCGATTATTCAGCTGTCGAATATTATTCAAAAATGGAAATTTTCGAATTGAATGACATTAGAGTATTAAGAATAGTCACTTTTTATGCTACAGTTCACGATGAAAAAACGACTTAGTGGTGACATCAAGAAACTTGACTTGAAAGCGTACTTCTATGACGGTTGTGAAGAGATTTTTAGAAGTTCAAAGAAGATTATATATCCTCACTGGGAGTTGTGGATTGATATTCAGGGGTCCCAACAGTGTGTAGAACTGAGGGCTGACATCAACTTAGATTTGCACGTGGAGCAATTTATCAATCGCTTTTCTTGTTGTAAAATTACTGTAGGGTAATTGAAGAGGGTTTTGAGACATCAAGAGCCGTTCGCGAAGCAAGGGAATCAAGAAGGTCGAAATCTTACATTATATTTCTAGAGACACTCACTATATATGTAAAAACTCCGCAACACAAAAGTTAGATCTTTTTTTAGGGGAAAATCTTTTGGATGTCTCATTTCGCGGTTGCTCTATGCTGGAAGTTCCTCCCGTGATAATAAGAAAAACAGAGGTGATTCGCTTTCTACTGTATTTGTAAGCTAAACCTTCCCTACGGGATGTTACCCAGAGGTTGCCAATAGACTTTGTGAGACGTAATGGGGATCAAACAGGGTGTAGATATTCTTGGAACATCATCAATACTTATATAATATTTGGATAAGCATTTTTTTTATGACCGGCCTGAAACGGTACAAAGAATCAAGGAATTCGGATGAAACTTTGCACACATGAAGTTCGGGGTGGGGCGGGTGTCACTAAGCTTTTTCACAGAAAATCACTCACTGGCGCTATCGATTTATCGATTTTTTCATGTTCTAATCTCTGTTGAGCTGAAAACTGGCAGGAAGGGATAACTGAGCATGGTTAAATTTGAACAAATATCTACAACTTTAACCACTAAACTATTTTACCTTTTTTGATTCTTGATGCCACATTCTGGAGGCTAGCTGATATCCAACTATGCGTTGACCTTCCGCAAAGGGTTTCATCGACTGATTAGCTCATCAACAAAATCAAAATGGTTCATCCACGAGATCAAATATGACCAAAAAATCAAAATACCCTATCCCGGCCTTACGGTTCATTCATACCATGCCTTCATCGGTCGTACCTCCTTCGACTACTGTTACTCCCGAGACCATGGCGCCGACATTGACCCCCTCCAGCAATGGACCGTCCCCCTCCACACCTCAGTCGCAGATGCATATTGCCCAGAGATCCCGAGCCCGTGCCGCAGCAAGGCGCACTTCTGAAGCCATGCGTAGCCGCCTTCGTCGTAGCCGAGAAGCACCAGAGGAACGAGAACGGCGTCTTGCCTCAATGCGTGAACGTCATCTTCGTCGACGGCTACAGGAACCACAGCTCAACGGACGCCTTCAGGAGACACTGGACCAATCGGGCATGGTGCGAGCCCAGAACGGGTTGGCCAACGACGACACGAGCCAATCGACGAGAACAAGCACAAACGATCTCTGCGCTTGACTCGAGGCAACAAGTGATGTTTGAACCGGCATCTACCTCCACTCCCATTCCGCAGATGCACATTGCGCAGAGAACTCGAGCACGTGGCACAATGCGGAGCTCCGTGACTGCACATAACCGTCTTCACCATGGCCAGGAAGCACCAGAGGCCCAGGAAGAGCCTGCCCGGGTGCACGTAAGTTACCTTCATTATCGCCAGCACTACCAGTTTTCAAAAAGATATAGATTAGTTATACAGATTATTAGATTTATAAATTTGATTAACCCCTTTTTTATGTCCGTTCAAAACGGATAGAAAAATGGGATCATGGGGTCTAAGGCAGATTCGGCAGACGTAATACATGGTGTGCGCCGTTGTTAATAAGCCATTTTGTTCAATACACACGGTTACTTGCTATTGATTTATGGATTTTTGCACTTTTTGCCTAGAAATTGTATTTGCTTGAAAACGATAGAAGGAGTTATGGAATATAGACCAAATTTGCCAGGCAATAATGCATGGGTGAGATGTGTTTTAATGAGCCTTTTATTCGACTATAATCATCGACCCTTTCAATTTATTGATTTTTTGCAGTTCGCGTATTATCCATTTCTTAGGATGTTAATTCGAAATAAACTGGCAAAGCCGAAATTGCCCACGGTGGTTCTTTCTGCGCCGATTATAAACATGCAAAATGGCAAATTTTCTGCATTTCACTTTCAATAAAGAACAAAACGAAAGGTTTACCGGAAGCGAAGCTGCCGTGTACCAGCCGAACCTGCCGCGCAGCGGCAGAGAGCGGCTGGTTCCGTATATATTGCAGACATCGAATTTCCTAATATTCGATGCTCATCGAATTTTTGAATAGTCCATTCTTATTGAGTTTTCGAATATTCGGTGCTCATCGAATGATCGAACCAATGACCACCGAACATTCGACATTCGAAAATTATTCAAAATCTCAGATTTCCGAATATTTGAATTTTTCTCATTCGCATTCGAATGATTTATTCGAATAATCGAATGATCATTCGATTCGGTCTAAAGTATAATTCGTACACATACACACATACAGACATACAGACATACAAACAGACATTCAGCTTTATATATAAGATAGAACATATTAGTTTGTCAACTAAGTTTTGCAGCTTTTCCATGGCTGTCCTCTTTTGCATGGGGTACACTCAAACTTTAATGTTTATACTATGATGTGAGCTATAGATGCAGCAATTTTCTACAAATCCGAGCAACGCGTGTAAAGGTTACGTAGGTATACAATGAAAAGAAAAAAATTCACGGATCCTACTATATCGTTACAGTTTAGCTGAAACTGTCTAGGGTGGGGGGGGGGGGAGGGGGTCTCGACACACCAGTCACAAGAATCATGCTCATTTTTTCGCAACAATGCCTTCTTGGTGAAGTTACAAAGAGCTTCTCAGTGTTACGGCCAGTGGATGTTTAGCATGTAGAATTACTCTATAGTGCAAAGTCTCGGCCTATTCTGAAATTTCACTTACTCTTAGTGATGGATGTTAGAATCAGTTCTGCGTTCACCTGCGTTGTTCAACTCGAAGAGTTTCCAGCTACTTTTACTTTCTATACAGGGCTCAATGAGCCAATCTCTGATGATGATTCCGCAGTAGTTCTGGGTCGATAAGTTTGATTTAGGCTGCGAATGACTTCTCTCTCGTTCTTTAGTGAAATTTCAAGGTTCAGTAGTTTTGAAAGAATGCTCACACTTTCTTGTCAGATATCGAAATTTATGTTTACTTGTAGCACACACTGCAATCTATATAATACCTAAGTTTGAGCGCACCATCTCGACAACAGGAGAGCTATGGAGAAAGTTGCAATGCTTAGTTCAACCAAATATCAGGATGGCCCAAAGGTTTTGCGTAATTCAGACGGAATTCGACAACTTCTCAAATATTGAACCTAATTATGGTTTGAAATCCTATGGATCGTAGGAGGTTTGCGCTCTATAAAAGATGTTTACGCATAACATTCTATAATAGCCAGAAAACGAAGCTTTCAAAAAGGTGTTACAAAATTTGCGATTTTGAGTGTGGCGCTAGAAAACGCGGAGGACCGCTAGCTAGCCCAAAAAAATCTTCAAAATTACTTATACTGCGGAATCCATATGTTACTGCGGCAGGCTTTAATCCTGTACGGTAAAGCAAAAACAAAAATTTTGTAAAAATTCTCATCTTCTAAAAAACCCTCTTTTTACTGCATTTTTTAAAGCAAAAACACTTTTTTGGCACTTAGCAAGCCTCAGAAAAATGTGTCACAGCGCTTTAATTACAGGGCTCGGCACGAGGTGGCTTACAAGCAAGCTGGATATCGTTTTTGGGACGAAAAGCAAAGGGGGTTTCGTTTTTGTGACCGAAGAGACACGGAAAATTGGCGACGGCGACCTTTTTTTTTCAGTCGACGTTTCGTTTTTTGGGGGATTTTGGGGAATTTTTCAGGTTTTTAGAGGAAATTTGGTTGAGGGTCAAAGGGGACTTCGTAAAAATTCCCAAAAGTCAAGGGGGACTTCGTTTTTTCCATTTTCATCTAGCCACCTCGTGCCGAGCCCTGTTTAATTAGGTGCGGCATGTACAGCTTCTCGCTCCTGTTCAATATGTTCATAGTGAAGGAAGGTAGGAATACTTACGGATAGGTTATACAGCGTGAAATCCAGATATCTGGAGCTTCGGGATATGAAGCTTTCTTTCTAAGCTGCAATCCCCTCACCGGCGGGCATGTTAATGCATGCGATCCTACTAACCATGACCAATCCCTTGCACACTAGTAAAGAATGCGCAATCGGTTTTCCGAAACAAACTTTCAGTTTTTATTTTGTTGAGATCCCCAGGAGTGAGAAGTACCCATAGCCATGCCACTGAATTCTGGACACTGCTCTGTTACGGCCCCACATTCACAGAGAGACGGCACAAATGTTTGAGCAGCAGCCTTTGATGTCGCCGCGACGTCTCGTAGGACATAATTCAAATCCGCGAAATGGCCGTGTGCTGTCCGTCTCGCACAATAACGCTAACCACAGGCTTGCTGCACACACGAGCCCAGATACGTGAAATATGACCGTAATTTTCAACATGCATCCGCTGCAAGGAGCTGAATGCTGGTGTGCTTTGTGAGTTAAAGACGAGGATGCATGTTGTTACACTGTTTACGGGCGGACGCTCGCCAGAATTGGGCTCAATTCTAATAAGCCATAAATTTGCTAGCGAGAGATGCAGCGCGGTTTACATTGTAATTGTGTGCCGGGCAAAGTCTTCAGGCTAGTCTTGCTTCAATTCTGCATCTTCACAGCCATTCGGTCGAATTAAGTGTAACAGGAACGTGAGATTATAAAGGCACATTCGTCTTTCCCTTCCTGCGACAACTCCTTGTCTCCCCTCCCCCCACGACCTCCTTTGGATTTCTTCAAAAACTCTAAATCTGAAAGTATGGACTAATTGTAAGACTTGCCTTTGGTCACTAATTACCAAATGAAACAGATGATGACCGCATCTAGTGTTAGGTTGCTGCAAAAATAATGTCCGTTTTGCAAAGCTTCACTCTGACTAGCTATAACTTTATCCAATCTTTACATTTTTGAATGAAGTTAAACAGAAGCAGTAAACCTTTCGCAACTTGGGAGATTACAGTAATGTCATGTTGCCTTGTTTTCTTGTAGGAAAAGAGAATTTTGCTTTCTTGAAGAAAAAAAGGATACTGCTTGAGGGAAAAAAGAATTTAAATATTTTTAGCCACTTTCTCTCACAGATTATCTTTCTTTGGGATTTAACCAGGTAAGCTCCACCCGCAGGCCGCTGACCATCATACAAGGGACCCCGTTTTCGAAAGAAACTAAGATTTTCAGTCGAATTACAAGGTAATGTCTTTCCTGTTAGTTGTTGTTGTTGTTGTCCATTTAGATATAAAATTTGTAGCTGGTCAAAATAAAATAATTTTCTTGAAAAATCTGTGGTTGACCGTTTCAAGAATAAGTTCTCCTGCTGTAACCAGAATGCTCCTCCCCCTCCCCCCCCCCCCCCCCCCCCACTCCAGCTCAAATTTTGCAAATGTCTAGAAAGTCAATAAATGCATTGAGCATCTCACTGATGATTATTGATTTTGTAATTAGCATGCTCACTCATTTCACGTAGCAACTTCCAGCGCTCCTACTTGCTTGTTTGCAGGAAATCGGTAAAATCCTAAAGGGCGATCAAATACTGCAGATGGATATCACGATTTTTCAACTCAGCTCTCTCTTAGAAGTTATGCAATTTCTTTTCCAAATTAAGCATATTTTTCTTCACCAATTACTCTTTGACGTCACCAGCTAATAATTACCGTAAACGCAAATGCGGCCTTAACTTTACAATTTTCGTTTCTTGATGATGGTGTTACAATACCGCTCACATTTTTTGAAAAATAGACGCGAATGTATGGACATGTCCGTACATGTCCATACATGTCCATACATTCGTGTCTATTTTTCAAAAAATGTGAGAGGACCGGTAACGGCAGAGTGGGCGATCGAATCCGCGCGGCGGCGGCAGCGCGGTTCGCGCTGGGACCCACGAGGATTACGGTACATCCCGCTCCGAGTGTCCGCGGAAGCACTGAATTTCTTTATTTCTCTTTCTATCTGTTTGTTTTCTCTCCTATACTCGGATGACCGCTACTTTGGATCGCCCACTCTTCCGTTACCGGTTCTCCGATCGTATTCGCCGCGCAGAACCGGATCACTTTCTCGGGAATACGCACTTTTTGAATAGTTCCGATAGCAGCCGGCTTCTCAGCCTGCGCATTCAAAATGGTTTTTCCCTTTAGATCACTTTGAAATCATTTTGTTTTTTGTTGTTGATGCAATCTTTCCACCACTTCCTTATAAACATTTTCAATCTGAGACTTTCAAAGTAGTTCGTTTTCATCATCTGCATTCTATAACTTACAGATATAACACCGTCGATGCCCAGTACAAGGAAGATGCGAAAGACGGCTCGGGGAACGTGGTAACGAAGAGCCTGTTTCAAAACCTGGTGCAGAAATTAGCAAAAATCTGGGAAGGTACGAGTGACATGCTCGTAACTAAACTCTTATATAACTATCTTGATTTTGTGAAGATTTGCCGAGCGTCGTACCGATATCTTCGGTGTTGATGCTGCTGGAGCAGAACAAACGGTAATCGGAAGAAAATTGGGAGAGGAAGCTCCGCAGCCTGCAAAGGTTAGTACAATCTGGTTTCATTGGATTTTGATGCCTGTTAGAGAAATATGTGAGTTCTTCGACCATTTAGCATCAGGTTTTCATGGCACATTCTTGTAACCCCTTCTCTCAAGAGTTCTGTTTATTTTCCCGTGCGTGATTTAGTATTTGAATTTCCAGCAACTTATTTGGGATGGATCTGAAGAGACTCGTAAAGCACACTCTTGCCGTACAAAGCCAATTCACGATTGGTAAGTTTACTGGTTTTTTACTGGCTCTGTTAGTTTTTCGCAGTAAGTTGTACATAAAAAAACTTTTTCCGTTAGTTGATTGTATTTTGTTCAAAGCAAGTTTTGCATTCTTCTTTGGGTTTTTCTTTGGGACACATTTTAGATCAACAAATCTACGAAATTCATCGTCAACACGGCGCCCTATCCGATGCGTCGAAAGAACGCATCGGGACACGACAAGTTGCTCAGCACCAACGCACTGCCACCGCCGCTGCAGCTGCTGTTGCAACTGCTCAGCGCATGACGGCATGTCCTTCTAGCGCTGCGGGCTGATGCCATTACCAGCAGTTTTTGCCAGGGCGCAGACGGGCATACCAATGCGTGTACCTGGCAGTGGCATGCCCGTACAGGTGACCATGGCAGGTCATGGTGCCGTGCCTCCCCCACCAACTTCAGATTTCATTGAATAAAACTGGTGTTGCTTATAAAATACTTGCTTTAGCAACCTGAGGCTCATCCGCCAAAACGTTAAAGAACTGATGAGCTGGAGCCGGAGGCTGAATGGTTGAAGAAGGTAGAAAACGCTTATCATTTGAATTTTTGTCTATTGTGTGATTTTGCAAATTAGTGGATCGATGAATCATATTTTGCGCGTTTACTTTGTACTGATCACTTCATATCTCAGGTGAATGGTGCGATTGACTTGCGTATACAACTACCTGTAAGTGCAGAGTTTAACATGGATGGATCGATCATCGGATTACAGATCAATGTTTCCTCGCAGGTGAGTCTACTTCGGTTTCTTGAAATCGTTGGACTTATTTATTACAGTTGCTCTGTTGACAACTGCTAGTATTATATTTTACATTCATTGTGGAAATTTGCATCTAGAAATGCCTCAGAGTATCCTTATCAAAGTTTTTGCAGGTAACGGACCTCCAGCAGCAACTTCAGGATAAGCACAGCATGCCAACAAGATAGCTGAAGCTTACTTCGATGTGAATACACACATACTTCTTTGTTGTAAATTCTCAATTCGTTCATTGGATTTTTTGATCTGGTAAAACCAAATTGGTCGAATATCAAGGAGATCTAAGTTTGTTTCAATTAGTTTTGCCATTTTAGGGTTTCTTTCTGAAAGACAACTTCTCTTTGGCCTTTTACAACATGAAGAAGCAATCGTTCGTTATTTTGCAGATTAAGGAAAGAGGAGGCAAAAACAAATGAATGTAAACTGTAGATTATGTGTTGTATGGTCGTGTATTTGTTTCGCGTACCGATTTTCTGCTTGGATAGTACCTTGTAGCAAGTTTGTATTGAACAACTTCTACGTAGATGTAAATTGATCTGAGACATCAATATGATTTATTGGTAAAAAAAGGATTTTCAATAGATCCTTTGTTGTAGCATTTTATTCACAAAATCTACTACATTGACAAAAATACAGCAAAGAATTGTCAAGCGATGGAGTCGCATGAAGCAATCAAATTCGACACGACCGTTCGCGGTTTGGAATTCTTATCTTCGGCGAACATCCATTACATCGTACACATTCACGATGCCGGTGGTCGATCTGAACTCATTTAAGTGCAAAGCGGCCCTTAAAAAGTGCTGAAATAACTTACCCGCGAGCAACTTTACTATCATCACCACTTAGTCGTATCTTTGTCCCACGGGCAACTCCCTCATCATGGAATAAATGCTAGGACCCTTGCAGACTGGCAACTTCACTTCCTTCTACAAATGCATACTTTTAGAAATTGTCTAATCTCAACCCAATACGACGCGCGTTTTCCAAGCGCGGATTTCCAGAGATTTGCTCCGTCATAAGAGCAACTTTTCTGATTGCTAGTGATGTCGGCAAGGAAGTCAAAGCTCTCAAAATTGCTTTTGATTGAAAAACCAGATCATCATGAAAGGTTTAGGAAATCATGAATATAAACAGAACAGTACCGTGGGCCAATGCTAGGCCACGCCGTCATTAATGGGTTGACTACACAGCCTCATAAAGTTGAAGAGCTTGCGCAAGTGATGTGGTGAATTGAATGACGGAAGAGAGAACAAACCTTTCAAAGCTCATAGCTCACGATTATAATCTGGCAAAAACTGCAACGACGTCACTTCCGCAGAGGCAGAGAGTGTTCTCACCAGTTCCATCGACTAACGAGAACATATATCGAACTCTGAATTGAGAGAAAAACAGTCAAGGAAAGTCACTGACAATCAAAAAACAAGTACTTGCGAGTTATGAGCAATCATAGCCACTAAAGAACGCTAATGTAGATTTATACAACTTTTTAAAGTTTTTGAAACAAAATCAAATAAACAAAGACATGTAGAATCACTTACATTATGCGGCTTCTTCACATCAACATTAACCATTGGAGTAGCAACGACGTAGAAAAACACAGCGGTAAACTTGGTCTAAAGTGTGTAAACTGGCACAATGAAAATCGGTTGCGTCAATGCTCCAACGACGACGTTAGACGTTACGGTCGCACATATATGGGGCCAATCGATGGTCAAATGCGTGCGTAACTGAATAGAAAAGAAGCAGACGTATTGGAATGGACTGAATAGTTGTTTACAAAGGACAAGAGTGAACGATGATGAAAACGAACTACTTTGAAAGTCTCAGATTGAAAATGTTTATAAGGAAGTGGTGGAAAGATTGCATCAACAACAAAAAACAAAATGATTTCAAAGTGATCTAAAGGGAAAAACCATTTTGAATGCGCAGGCTGAGAAGCCGGCTGCTATCGGAACTATTCAAAAAGTGCGTATTCCCGAGAAAGTGATCCGGTTCTGCGCGGCGAATACGATCGGAGAACCGGTAACGGAAGAGTGGGCGATCCAAAGTAGCGGTCATCCCAGTATAGGAGAGAAAACAAACAGATAGAAAGAGAAATAAAGAAATTCAGTGCTTCCGCGGACACTCGGAGCGGGATGTACCGTAATCCTCGTGGGTCCCAGCGCGAACCGCGCTGCCGCCGCCGCGCGGATTCGATCGCCCACTCTGCCGTTACCGGTCCTCAAAATGTGAGCGGCATTGTACGCGTCTATAAGAATGAGGTTACGGTGCTCCGCGAGTGCAGAAACACTGTACACAAAGTTGGAAAAATGAATCTAACGGGAAATCGTGCTGTCTTTGCGGTGTGTGTATGAGACTCTGGAATAAACAAATTTTACACCACCAGCATCAGAAAAACTAACTTTGTGCATGATCTCTATTTCAAGACAGATCCAAAAGCATTTGCTTGAGGAAATGATAAAAAGTCCGCGGAGCCCTTCTTTTCCGAAAGAGCAGCTGATATTCGGTCAATGCTTAAATCCAACCGAAACCTCTATAATGCTCTATCCTGTCCAATATTAGATTTATCTTTGAAAACTATAAAGATTATTCTGTTCCGGCTGTCATTAGAAGGATTGACCTTCACTTCTACACGAATCTCCCTACTTGGACTCTGCAAAACATCTGCTGCCAGAAAATGCAGCGCCAGCAACCCTCCCCCCCCCCTGCCGTAGCCTATAAAAATAAAGCCTTTGACGACATTGTCGGCAACATGAAAGCGAGTCGATCTTATCGCGCAATGAAATATATGTCGTTTTATGTCGTTATAGGCGCGAACGTAGTTGAATTTTTGGATGTGCCGCTCTCTATTCCCCTTGACCTCGTTTGCTACTTCGGTTCTTCGTAAACTGACAAGATTGTGGTATTGGTGCGTTTGAAGGGAGACGGTCTTAGTCAGCCATTCCCACTGGAGATGTTGTTCTCAGCCGAGTCGCGGCGCGTGTGACTCATCTGATCACTCATTCTTGGCTTTGCAGACGGCTCGGATCGATCGTTCCTACTTTTTGAATTATTTAAAAATCTTCCTTTTGTTACAACTGTTGGTGAGTAAGAGCTAGAAATTTTCTTATTTATGGCCGTTTATGACAAGTTTACGATAGCTTTGTTAAAGGCGCAAAAGTTTGCCGGAACTCATGGGGAACTTTTTACCACCTAAATGATGTTCTTATGTGTTGAAGCTGAGCATTTCAACTGTGAAGGAGGGCTGTCACTCCCACCATCTGAGCAAAAGTTGCCTACAAACACTTTATTTCCTCATTTTTTTCTTATGAACAGTGTTGTGAATCTCTCGTAGATGGCGAAGCATCAGTGAATTGTGGTGTTACGGCTGCGATAATTGCCTTTGTCAAAGCCATGCCAGCTCATTGATCGATCGATACGTGGTGTGTTCAAGTGGGTGCTGGCACGGCGCTGGCACGTGGGCCACTCTAGACGCTGCCGGATGCTGCTTCAATCAACAGAAAGCTATGAGAAGGATGGGATGCAGTTTGCGATATTTTAGCAAGCAATTAAGAGGAAACGAGTTTTCTGTCTACTGTTATTGTCTTCTAAATTGTCCACTAATGTAAGCTAAATCACTTCTCAATTCTCATTTGTTGAAAGTTTTAAATTGGCTCAAAATTTTGAAGAACCCTCAAAAAGGTCGGATGGCCTTAAGTTGCTCACTTTGAACATAAGCGCGCACACAGATCCTAAAGTTTATTTAGTCCAGAACAGAGCTCCCGATGGTTATCGCCAGTATTTCATGCATTGCAGGTGTCTCGGTTATAACACTTATAGCACATTCTATGATGCAACTGGGCTGGCGCACATTGCGTAGAGAGCTGAATATTTATGTTTCCGTGATTCGCATAATTTCTGCGCAAACACTCGGATCCATGGATTCTGTTCATAGTATGTTACTTTATAAGCCAGGAAAGTGTGGGGACTTTTCATAATCGTGAGGCATTTTTTTCCGCTAACGGTAGAATGCGCATGCTATAAAACTACGAGCGAAAGGGTTCCACAACAACTCTTTGTCGCTTGACGGGAATTCATTCCTATTGTCGAAACAAAATGGAACTCCGTTATAGTGATTTTCCTCATTTTAGGATCGGCACTACAAGGAAGCGGATACCGAAAATTACATTCATGAGGGTGTAAATTTGAAGTGCCGGTTTGTTAGACGTTTTCCAGGGCTAGCGAATACTGATTCAAGTAGCTATCGCAAAGACAAACTTCTTCTATATCAAAATCTATTACCCTATTTTCCGGCGTATAAGCCGCAATTATTTTCGTCGCGCGCGAGCTGATGTGCGATGATGGTTGCGATGTGCGAAGCCGCGCAACCAGCCAACTACCACCTATTTTACCTAGTAGCCTGACTGTAACTTTCTGCTTTCGCTCTTTCTTTAATGCATTGAAAGCACCATTGAAACGTCAACATCATCATCAACAATCATTAAAATCGGATGAAATAGCAGCAGCTTCAACCTTAGCAACATCTTTAAAAACAAAAGAAAGCGCTGTCAACTTTATTGTGTCCTTGAGGAAAATAACACAACCCAAACACCCCAAAATCGTCCTAATCTCTGGAAAGAATAAAGAAATACTAGACGTGAACATGTGCCATGAAAAACAGTCACAAAATGCAGCAAGTTTTCAAATCAAAATTTTCTTTTCGAAAGCTCTTTCGCGCCATTGTTCGCTGCGGCGGGTGCGGCTTATATAAAGTGCGGCTTATAAACCGGAAAATAGGGTATGAATGCGGATTTGGGATTAGGAAGGCATGGCATATTTTCTGATTTGCGCAAAGACTTTCGTGCTAGACCAATAAATGGATGTAACATAAATTTGTTTACTTGAGTAAAAAACTCATAAGTTTCTTGAAAGTTTTTTCTCGTTTTCAAAGTAAAGGGATTAGCTTTTTGACATGAAGCCCTCGCACACGAATGTTCTATTTCCAAGTTTCCCCAATTCTTCATTTTTTTAAATCAAATTTCCAGCCTGAAGACATTGAACCACTTTCGAACTGCCTTTACAAAGATGTTCCTAAAATCAAAAAATCTTTCGATGAAAAAGAAAATTAAGAGATATTCTAAAAAACTAAAAAATGGAGGTTGAAGCGCTGTCACAGTGTTACTATCATTTGTACTGTAGCTCCGCTCGCGAAGGTGGAGACGAAGCAAATGAAAAGGTAATTGCTCTTCTTTATAAATTTTAATTATGAGAGCTTGTTGAGGTTTCCAGTGCTCTCCGAACGTACAAAACGAAAGACAACAAGACCTGTGTTAGACACTATCAAGACTACTGAATACAGTACATATAATATAGTACATATTACAGGGTCGTGGATGATCAGAGGTGGCTTATGAGCTGGTATCCTTAAGAGCCTGAT